ATATAATGTGTGTATGTAGATGATTTACATTATTTTTATAAGAAGATGCTGTTAATGAATAAAACAAATATTTGACAAAATTTTAACATATTATATAACATAATATTTTAACATATTGATCTCGACTATGTTCCCGATTAAAAACCAATCATTGCCATCTAATACCTGTTCAGGATATGTTGCTAGGGTATGTTGAAATAGAAAACCGGATGTTTCGCCAAGATATGGATCATCAAGAGGAATAGAATAGAGTTAGCTTACCATCCGGATGGTCCCGAGATGGTTTCTCGAGATAACGAGGGCTCTAGATCCAAGTGCCGTTACGATTTTCAATTTACGATCGGCGTTACCAATCGCGGCGAGATATTTGATAGCGGGTCTTCTGCATACGAGTCCCCGAATCACTCCGTTACTTGAGATATATGAAGTATCGCGGACATAATACGTGATAGATAAGACAGTATCGCAGATATATCAATGCAAATATATCAATATCGAGCTTAATGTGTTCGATGTAGAACGCAGTCGGAAATTGCAATTATCGCTCGCATTAGTCCTTGATTTGGTGCGATGCGGCCTTTGTTTCCAGACGAAAACAGGGTTACTCGAACGGTCATAAGTTTCGCTCACCGACTGAAAATTCGCCGGCAAGGCCACAAATTCCGTCGGCGGCCGACTCGAGCGATGCTGTGCCGTGTCGTGTCGAGTCGAGCGGGACGATAATTTCACGGCAAAGTGTACCACGGGTCCCGGTGGTACCTTACACCTCGTTTCGAAAGCTCTCATCCTCCCGTTCGCGATCCTCTGCCACCTTCAGCACACTTCGCTCTCTCCCTCCCTTCTCCCTATGCCCCCTTGACTCTCCGCACCTTCGTCCCTCTTCATTTCTTTCTTTCTTTCTTCTCTTTTCCAATGTCCGGTGCATGCACGCGCGTGTATGTGACTCGGAGTGTGCCTTTGGCGATGTTTACGAGGCGCCATACCTCCGAGTCAACGGCCCCGTGATTTCTCCATTCATTTCCTTCGCCGCTATCGCCACCGATCTTTTACATGCGCGCCGATCTAGCGGGCCGATAAAGACTCGCGTGCATCCACAAGTCGACTACGGTATCGATGTCAAAACGGTCATCAACTATCGCAAATTTGAAATTGAAAACAAATTAAATGTATAAGTTTCTGAATTGAAATTTTTCTTTCACTTTCACCTAGGATTTTTTTGATTCTGTTTTGATATTTTAACCAATCAGATCAATCTCTTTTGATATTACTTACCTCCTAATTTCTATTTAGAATCACAAAATTTTATTAAAAAGATGGCTAAAGATGGCTAAAAACTGCTGTTTTGGAATAAAAAAATTGTCTGCTTATTTTAGATACAAAAATTGAAATTCAAAGATTAATTTAAAATAAATCTATCACAATCTCTAAACAACTAAGATCAA